CGTACCGAAAGTGACAATAAGGCCGACAAAAATCAAGCGCAAGAGAGTCTGCAATCAGCCACCGAAAAATGCCAAACAAACTAAAAGCATTACGAAGGGAAGACAAAAAATCAAGGTTGGAATGGGAATCGTTATGTATTGAGACATCATAAGATGACACAGAATTAGAGAAAGGAAGTGACCACACCGGATCACTACAGTACCAGATCAACCATTTCTGTATGAACGTAATGTTCAGGAGGACGATGGATTACGTGAGAAACTACAACGCATTCGACATAGTTTCAAATCACCATTTGGTAGTAGCCAAGATAAGGTTGAAACGAAAGTAACAGCAGACAAAAGGGCGAACGCCATACGATGCAACAATAGAAGGAATGATCTCTGTTGATCCTCATGGTAAGGTTCAAGAAAGGAGAAATAAGAGTGCAGCAATCAACATTAGCCGAATGAGAGCATAAAAAGCAAAGGTACAAGCTGAATACACAAAGGCAAACAAGCAAGTGAAGAGGAGCATCAGAGCCGAAAAATGTAAATATTCGGAATATCTAGCACTGACGGAGCAAAAGGCTATTAGATAAGGAAACCTGAGACGATTTTACAAAGATGCTCGCTGGAAACTATCGTAAACATGAACGACAGGCTCAAAAGAAGAAAAGCTAAGTGATCACGAACGTTGGTGAACAGCGAGATAGGATGGTGGAGCAATTCAAGGAACTTTTGAATCGACCAGCCCCACTGAAGTCACCCAACATCCAAGCAGCAATCACGGACCTCCTTAAAAGTGTTTGCTCAATAAAATTTGAAAAGATCAGCATACTTTTAGAAGAATCAGGAGCGATGAGGCAGCGGGACCATACAACATTCCAGCAGAGGCAGTGAAAGCGGTCGTTGCAGAAACAGCGAAAATATCCCACATTCTGTTCAACCAGATTTGGGCTGAAGAACAAGTACAATCAGACTAGAAAGAAGCTTATCTCATGAGGGTACAAAAGAAATCGTATCATTTGAAAAAGAATAGAGGCTTGTCAGGTCTACCTTTATTACAAAATGCTTTCCGCTTTACACGATTTGTAAATGAGACAAATTGAACTGCTTGATTTCAGTTCGTCTCAGCATAGTGCGTTTGGGTTTCTCCTGAATGATGGTTTTTCAAGCAAACTGGAGAACCTTTGCTAAAAAATGCAAAACCAATATAACACATTTTCAGGAAAATAAGTTTGCTTTGCAAGCACGAACATTCACTAAGATTAAATGTACACTTTACTGATTAATTGTCGGCGATCAAACTTCTCATTTCTCAATACCCGTTTAATAGAACGGGAGCCTGTGACTGTGATAACCTCAGAAAACGTGGAGTTAGGCGATTGAGAATAACGGAGCGAGTCAGCATCTGGCAATCCAGATGAACTATAGCAAACTTAATTTTGGTAGTAAAGCCAACCGTTAACTGACGAAACAAAAATTCAATCAATGAATTAATTTGCTATTATTTGCACAAAAACTAATTAAAATACTTCAATTTCCTCAGATCGCTTACCTAGTCTACATCGCTTTTATGCCTGATTCGTCTTCATAGCTCACAAGTCAGTCGTGTTACACAATCTTCATTACCCAATAACTAAATAATTATTGCATTTATTTAACAGGTTCTGAAATCTTTTCATTTGTGTTAGGATTTTCTCCTTACTGCCCTCTACATCGCAACTGACTGATCTTCAGCCTAGTAACCTTATATCTGCTGGTATACAGAAACCCTACTGCCCTGAAACAAACCAGCACGCTGAGATCAGGGGATGCGAAAATTCACAAATAACTTTTAAATGAATAGAATCAATGCAATAGAGTAGCTAAACTACCTTCCATTGAACACAACAAAATACCTGGAACCGAACCAGAGGAACAAGAATTGAGTGCAAAGAAATCAATTAGTTTGTACTGGCTGGTGATAAAGGAGACACTTTAGGGAGAATTTCGATGATGTTAAAAATAAGTGTACATAACAAGTCTCGTTCATGACTAAATTTAAAAGCCAATGTTTGTTCGTTTCAATAACATAAAGTAATTTTTACCGCTTTATAGTGCGAAATTTGGAAATGGTATATGATGCTGTGAACTGAAGCCTTCTACGTAACGCTGTTGATGAGCAACCTCTGTGTAGTTGCCAGACTTCGCCCTTTGACCCTTCAGTATGTTTTATGTATTTAACTATACATTGCATTTTGGCGACGTTTACGATAAAAAGTTTCTCGTTCAATCATTTTAAAAAATGATATTTAAATGATAAATAATAGCGTCATCCTGTCAAGTAAATGGTTTTAATAATTTTGAAGCTCAAAAACTAATGACTTCGCAAAATGAGTGCAGAATTGTCTCTTCCTGTTATTTACTTTTTGTCTTTAATTTTTGTAATATAATCTCTCGAAAGTGTATGCTGAATTAAATCCTGTCCTCATAAAATGATTAGGTTACTCCTTGCTGCTTTGTGTCTTATACACATAAAACCGAACCATAATAAATATTTAAGGAACATAGACGATGTTAACACAAACTTTCAGTTTCTTCAAGACAGGTTATTAACTTAGCATTCATAGTATATGTATCCTTATTAGCTTAAAAAATGAAATGCGTTGTCGTTTTCTTGCTTTCTTGTCAAATTTGTAGTTTCAGTACTGTATTGATGTTTTGAGTCTTTCAACCTGACAGTTTTTTTAAACTATCAGACTTGGGGAAATCACTAGCGTTTATACATTAGTGCATACTCTCAGTTTTTTGACTTGAAAATGAACTAATTGGTGTACTCTGGTAGAACTCTTGATTAACATATTTGAGCCGTAAGGCTACAGGGCTACAGCATTTAACCAATAAAATTTAAGTAGAGGTGACTGTTAAGTTTTGATTTAACTAAACTAAGCACTAAATATAGGTTTTACCCTCAGTCACTGAAGTTTAAATGATTGAGTAATTAATTAATCCATATTTAATAATCCTGTAGTTTGTTTACGAGTGGAACATTGTAAAAATTGTCAACTGCTTAGTTTATTGAATATCATTTTGAGAGATAGTATAAAATCAAGATTTTACGGTGATGCATGCAACATTGTAGTAGTAAAACCATGAAAATTTGATCATCTAAAAAATGGAATCACTGTTGATGTAAATTTCAGGAATATGAAATGCAAATACAAGTGACTTATGTATTCATCAGTAGAATTCGTATCACAACTGTTTTCCATTTTGATTTTTCGCAGTGCGATTTTATTTATTTGATAGGTGGATACCAAGTTATTGTGATAATGTGATAAGCGTTACTTTGGGTAATCAAAAAGCGTGGGTTTTTTTATATAAATTCTTAGCTGCAATATTTTATAACTACTTAAGAATATCCATGAAATTTTAAGTCAGTTAAACGACCAATTCTGAAATCTAAAAATTATGTAGATCCCATGCGTTTGATATTTACTAAATGTGGAATGCCATTTCTTGGTGAGTGGCTTTTGTATACATATCTAAGTTACATGAGCACTACTAAGCCACCATTTGCAAAACAGTATAAAACTAATAGTTAGTGATGAGTATGAGAATAGAAATATATTATTTGTATGGTAAATAGTCGTAATCTTTTCAGGTTAATGTTAGGCGTTTCGATTTACATAAAGTCGATTTATTGAGGAATAAATATTATTTTTATTTTAAAAATTGACATGATCTTCAAAATATCCAATTTACAGTAAGTACGCTGTAGTAAAGTGAATTTTGGCGGATAATAAATTCTAAACGTCCCTGAATAGAAATAGAACCCATTTGAGTAAATATATAAGACAAAAGCGAAGAATACAATGCAGTGAAGCGTACTTTATGCAGAAATTAATATCACAATACCGGTACTCTGGATTTTGGGATTCAGTATTAATAGTTATTATTATCTTTTCTGGACTAACCTGTTAACAGTGAAAAATTTAAAAGAAATAATAGTATACATTTACTGGATTAAAGCCGCTCAAGAAATTCATTGCAAGAAAGAACTTCTGTTTTACAGCGACGGCTAGTTAGGGTTGCTTAACTAACATTATACTTCTAACAACACAATGAATTTTATGCAACTAAGTGTGAGCCAGAAAACCTATAGCACCTAAACTATTCATTAATTTGTCTCAGAAGCTGTACATTAGGGAATAATATCTTACTTAAAAGCTTTGATCATTATAATATGTTGATTCTGAAAATTATAAGGTCAGGTTTAAAAAGCAGTGAAAGACATATTATTTAAGCGTATTTGGACGCCAAGTTAGTTGTACTGAAATGTCTATTAGATATATATTTCTTATTTGTTAGCAAAAAGTAATACACTACTTAAACACCCAACTTTCGTCGAAGAATTAGAGTTAAGTTTATGCTGCAAATAATCAAAAACAGGTCTCTAGTGAGGATTGATTTTCTGCCAGGTTTTTTATCGTTTCTACAAACCTCTGATTTATGCAGTCCCAGAAACTCACATAAATGTTGTTTCTTTTGGTTGTTGACATATGGTATGCGATAAATCTGTTTGGAAAATAGCGACGGTAAAAGCCACCTAAAACGTCAAGAAGCGTACTTAGGCCTTTGTAGTGATCTTAATCAGTAACATAAGCGTTAAACTTTAGAATACAAAACGGGCTTTACAATAAGATTTTCAAGCCATCATTTTGCGGCGGATTATTATGTTCTCTCCTTACTGACAGAGCGATATTTTAAATATTTATTTATTCTAACGGTATATTACATCCAAATCTGAGGATAATTCTTGGGCGCGACAAATCTCTAGCCAATTTTCAAGTAATTTTGATAATCAGCTCAAAAAATTAACCTTGTGCGAATCTGTCAGCGATAAAATCTATCACTGTCGAACTGCTAAAAGGTGCCCTAAGTTGCAGTATCTAATAATTGACATTAGAAAAATCTATGGCTTTAATTATGAACACTTTCTTCGATGTGAGCTTAAATAAAATCCTTTTTAAAACATGTTAGATAACCTAAACGCTTATTCACTTCGTGGTTTTTTCGATATCCATTCCGGAGTTATGTTTGATAAAACTCTTTTCATTCAACGAAATTCGTATTTAGTAGCACTTAAGGTTAAGTCAAGTTTCTTCTTAGCTTATAGTCATACATGTTAGCTAACGTGTGTACCCTGTGCTGAAGAACGCGATAACTCTACGTAATTAGGTTGACGTTCAGTTTCACTTCTTTCAACTTATTTTTATTTGATCACTTGGCCATTTATTTATTAAAAAAAATGTTTTTTCAAGTTTACAAGTCTAAAGTTGAATACAGCTAGTGTTGTTTTGGGCGTTGATAGGAGTAACAATGCACAGTCTGTCAATCTTAAAAATACTATATTTTACGGTTTCAACATCTTGTTAAATCCACAAATACTTTTTCATCATGCAATTTTTACATTAGAATGAAATTATATTTACTAGTATAGATTAACCCACAAATTTGACTGTTTTACACTCAGTAGGTTTTGTCAAGTATTTATTAAATTAATAATTAAAAGCCCTTAATTTTTGTGCAAATTATTCTGCCATAAGTTTTGCCTACATTCAAATGGCATAAAAATTTGAAATTGTCTATCTTACACGTACTCTGATTATAAGACAACTTTAACCATTTTTTATATCTAATTATCATATACTTGAAGTTTATTCAAAATTACTAACAAAAGATGTAACAGTTTTGGTACTGTTCATGAAACATTTGTTGGCATAATGATTGTCGGATGAGCATTTATGTTTTACACAATGAAAGTTTGATTACTGGAAATGACTATATTGGTATGACATTGTGTGTTTTGGTTTTAAGGATAAATGGAAATAATTTGGAATTGTTCTTTCAAGCAGTTTATAAAACTTTACTTTCTTCATTGCATAAAATCTTTTTCAGTCAGTTCATATACTAGTCAGTGTTTAGCAATATGTGAGATTCATGTTAATAACAAACTCTAAGAAGAACTTCACTGAAACAAACTTTGTTTACTTCAAATAGATACAATTGTAAGTATTTTCTAAAAGTCACAGGAAGTTTTAAATTTCCTAAAAAAGTAATTTGAAATTCCTAACTTCATCACAGTTCCCATTTCATAAGTGTTAAAAACTTGTTTGAAACTAGGTATAGTAAGTTGCATGAGGTAAGTAGAAATATCTGAAGTCGGTAGTTCTTATTGACTATATTGTATTTGGTATGAATACAGTTAAACAGTTACATTAGCTATGCTTATCATTGTATATCAGCTCATAATCAGCAATCAAATATCGACTTCATCTCCATTCTGGGATGAACATGACAGACTACAATAAACATCGTTATTAACTACTGAATCAGGTATAGCTGGAAATGCGTCGTAAATTGTAGTGATAAAGCATACCATTTTAACTGAATGACACGTAAGTACTTTCAAGCCGATCGTTCATAACCATTAGTTGCTGATCGATTCCACTTATTTTTTTTGTAGTGTGGTTTACAGTTTTAGTGACGCTGTTTAGTATTCAGTGACCAATTGTTAACAAGTAAACCAATGGCTAAATCATGGACTGTATCATTTGATGATGGAGGTTTAATAGTTCTCTCAACAATAGTTCTTTTAATATTGTAGTTTTGGCTTACTCAAAAGGTCCAAATACCACAAAAATAGAGAACTTGTATATTTATGATAGTTTTTCCGACCCATCGAACATCCGAACATAATGCATCCGATATAGACTGACCTAATATACTGAATAAATTGCAACTTAACAAAAAAAAGTTTTATTTCAACACTTTCTGTTTTGGGAGATATTTTAGAATAAAAAATAGAGAAACTAATAGTATGTAAGTGAAGTACTGAAATTTCTAAAATTATGTAACCCGCTTTAATTTTTACAAGCATACAAAACCTACTTAATTCCATATCCATTAGGAATAGAAAATATCACATATCCTCAGAAATAAAATTCGGAATTCTAAAACATTTTTACTTGATCAAGGTAGTTGTTAAAGTGTGTATATTTATCATTATTGTGTTTTAATTTTGTTCAATGTGATATAGTTTGGATCATCCCATTGTTGATATTTTGACTGAAATTTGATCAGTCTTGGTTAGCGTATGTGCATACTGTGCGGATTGCATCGACATAGCCATTGCGACACAAGTTTAAGTAGAATAGATAGAAAGTGGCTAGCAGTTGAATCCAGGACGAGCGTTTCACACCCCATGATCAAGTGGATAATCAAATTGACTCAGTAGCTAGTTAGATAACGCAACAACATTTGAGGCAAACTGTATTGCGTTCACATACTGAAGTTAACATAAACTTTGACATGCAGGTTCATCCAGGTGAAGTCTTAAACAGGCCAAAACACACGTCCTGGATCCCACTGACAGCCATATTCTGTCTATTTAAATATATTCTAATTTCGGTTTAAGAAAATTATTTTATCTTTACGAAGCAAGTAATTTAGAAATGTCAGTTAAATGGAATTGTAAAAAGTTTGAAAGTAAGAGAAATCTGTGGAATCAGTTGATTACGTTTTATCTAGTTTTCAGTGGTTGTTTACAATTTAAAAATATTTTTTCTAATTTTATTAGTCATTTAGTGATAAAGTGCACTACATATTGAGTTTAAATTTAGAAAATCTTTATTCAATCAAAGTACTCAGGCTAACATCTTGTGCGTCTGAATGTTTTTCTTGTTATTCATTGTGGAAAATATTTCTTGTTAAGAACATCTTAATTCTTTAAAAAAATTTTATTTTTAGAGAGTTCCATGAGAATTCGAAGCATTATATAACAACTAGAGGAAATGAAATTATTTTAATAAACAGAAATGAAATTGGGTGTTCACAAGTTGCAGATCATCGAGTTCGAACTAGAATATTTTCATTAGATTACATATTCGGTTCGGCTGATCAACTTAATCCAGATAATAATTCACAGGCTTTCGTAAGTAATGATGGATAATTCTGATAATAAATTTATAAACTTTTGAAATCCTCCAATAAACTTGTAGTTATTTTCTGAAACGACTGTAACCAGCGCTGTAAACAAAGGAATTAAAAAAAATTAAAACTCCAAAATTGTCGAAAATCTTTTTCGAATTGTTAGTTCACTTAGCAAATTATTTCACTAAGTGATGTGTGCCAGTAAAGATTAAAAGTTATTCCGAATTCTTCTACATCAAAACCAGAAAAACGGGTAGTGACTTTTTTAAGAGATTTACCCTAATGGTTACTGTAATTAGCTTCTCTAAGATCTTATCCACTTAAAAGTTTTAAAAAGGATAATGAAAATCTCAATATCTGAATAAAAATGTCCAAAAACCAAAGATGAATCGATTGGTGAATATAATACAGATATATATATATATATATATATATGTATATATATATATATATATAATACAGATATTTATTCTAGATCATGAAAGCAGCAACAACCAAAAACCATAAAAAAGACTTGAATGCAGTAAGCACAACTTTGTGCTCTAAATGAGGAAAAGAGATTGATCACTAAGTAAACAGACAGTATTCCCACTGAATTCTAGTTTGTTATTTAGGTTTATTGAATTGTTTGATTTTACTATGTGCTCAGATTTGATTACTTATACAAGATTTTTCTATTGTTCACAATTTGTAAATAGATTTACAACCATGTAGGAAAACCTGCTGTGGATTCTGTAAGAAACGGTTACAATTGTAGTTTATTTGCATATGGCATGACAGGAACAGGAAAAACGCACACAATATTTGGATCTGAGGTATGCTTTTCTTTTACTAAACAGTACCGGATGATTTTAAATGCATAGTTAAACAGCAAAACCATTACAAAAGGAGATTTTCTACGATATTTAAACAAACAGAGAATTAAAATAAATTTACGAATCCTCATTGAAAGCATTAGATACGACTGCTCATGGCTTTTATTTTAATTTATACTATTCCGCAGAAAAGCTCATTAAAATTAATTTGTGTTTCTCAGTCATTTTACTCATGAATCATAAATCCTTTTGACAAGCTGGAAATACTTACTTACTTACTTACGCCAGTTACACACAATGGAGCATAGGCCGCCCACCAGTTCCCTCCAACCATCTCTGTCCTGGGCTTCCTTCTCCAGTTCTGTCCAATGTTTGTTCACTCCTCTCATATCTTTCTCTATTTCTCGGCGTAATGTGTTCCTTGGCCTTCACCTTTTCCTTTTGCCTTGAGGGTTCCATGTGAGGGCTTGTCTTGTGACGCAGTTAGTTGCTTTTCGTAGTGTGTGTTCTATCGACTTCCATCGCTTCTTCACGATTTCCTCCTCCACTGGAATCTGGTTTGTTCTCTCCCACAGTACGTTGTTGCTGATGGTGTCTGGCCAACGAATCCGAAGTATTTTGCGTATACAACTGTTAATAAACACTTGTATCTTCTGGATGATGCCTTTCGTAGTTAAGCTGGGAATACCAAGATCAAAACTACTCAAAATCTGTTTACCTGAATTAATTTTTTGGTATGTGGTAGTAGATGAAATACTTTGTGAACCTTCCTTCATCGCTGGTATGTAGAAATCACTTGTTTGGTTTGTATAAATAGACAGCTACTGAAACTATCGGGTAATAAGATCGATCAAGCTTAGTCACTTCATGCTCGTTAAAATAATTTAATAGAACATTGACTTTATTTTTTACTGGACTACACAAGTTACAACATAGTTTATGATAGTATGAACTTAACAAGATGGACATTTAGATATCAGTTTTGAAAGTAAATAATATGGACATGAACAAACTAACTATTCTTCCACAAATTATATAATACACACCATAGAAATTACGTTGGAGAATGAGTTTATTATTTAACCTGAAACTTATACACTGGACATTTAATTTTAAATTTTATGCTTTATTAATGGGAGTTCCAAAAACGCAACGTTGATTAGCTTTTAAAAAAGATAATAATCTAAGCTATCCAAGTCAGTCAGTCAGTCAGTTACAACGTAAATTTTCGTACGCACGCACGTCGGTTCAGGTTGCCGTACCAAATTAGTACAGAGAGAATTCAAATCCCATAATAGTAGAGGTAGTAGAAGTGTCAGCAGTAATGGAGAAGATGATATGATTCGGGAAGTATAACTCAGTGAAATAGAAGAGGAAAAAGGTCATGAGGATTTCAAAAGATAAAAACTTGCGAGAAGACAAAGGATAGATGTTTCTTCACCATGTCATCTAAAGTGTTAAACCACCGGTTACCATTTTCTGGCAGATCTCAATCAGACAGTCTACGCATACTAACATGACTTCGTCCAGTTGACAATAACTTGATGGATTTGTGCCATATTTTGTTTTGGCCGCCTTAGCTTCCTTTCACCCTACTCCTGCAACACAAGGCATAACTCGTCGAGGCAGTTGGTGGTCGGGCATCCGAAATACATGTCCCAACCACCTCAACTGATGAAGTTTATTTACTTCATTTATTGACCATTCATCCTTACTTAAAAGTCTTTTCCTAACAACAATATTGCTTACTCGATAGCCTCAGGTTAAGCGAGCAATGCTTCGGACATACTTATGATCGAAAACCAGTAACCTACGTATATCCTCTACTCCTATTGATCATGCTTCATTGCCATAAAGTAGGATGGAGTGAACTGATTCGCAGTAGGCTCGTCTTTTAGTAAGCAGACGGATATCTCGCCTGCACCAAAAGGGATGAAAGTTGACGAAAGCCAGTCAAGCCATTTGTATCCGTGCTGAGACTTTGTCAGTCACCAGTGCATCAGCACTGTTGAGACTCCAAGATACTTAAAGCGGAAAAAACTCTCAACTACTTCACTCCCTGTCACTAGATCAAGTGCCGATTCAATTCAATCCTGAAGTAACACTTTGCATTTCGAGGGGCAGAATCGCATACCGAACATGTTTATATTGTTGCTTGAGACAGTAAGAAGACTCAGCATCTCGTCAGCGTCTTCAACTTGTAGAACTATGTCATCGGCATATTCTAAGTCAACAAGAAAATCTCCTGATAATATATCAACTGCTGAAAAGTCAAACGATGAAAGTGACATATTTGAAAGCAAGTTCATAATAGAGTTGAATAAGAATGGTGAATGTGAACAACCCTGATGAACACGACTTGAAGTAAACGATTCCGATTACAGTTCGCCATAAACTCTAACTCGACCTGCAGTGTTCGAGTAGAGAGCTTGTATAAGGTTAATGTACGCTTTTGGTACGCCGTTAAATGACAGACACTACAACACAACCTCGCGATCTACCGAGTCAAATGCCACCTCAAGTTCCAGGAAGATAAATATTGTAGGACGCCTAAATGTGTGTCTATGTCCCAGGACCTGTCGTAGTGTGAATATGTGGCTCACACATCCACGTCCAGGTCTGAAACCAGTCTGCTTTACTCTAGTCTACTCTTTACGAGCTCTATTTAGGTTTCCAAGGATAACTGAGACTAACAATTTAGAAACTGTATTAGTTAAACTGATTCTTCTGTGAACGTCATAAGAGGACTTTTGTCCTTTCTTATAAATTGGGACAATCAGGGATTGAGACCAGGCGGATTGGATTACGTTCAGTTCCCAGATCCCATTTAAAATCTCAGTCAGTCCATCGTCTAAAACTGGACAGCCCTTGCTAAGAATCCCAGGGTTACCCATACAGAACCTGCTGACCTCCCTCGCCTTAGATTTTCTATAGCTTTATCACCTTCGTTAATAGTTGGAGTACTTACATGAATTCACCCTGCAGGTCGACTGGAGATTGTGGGCTACCGAAGTGTGGCTGAAGGCCAGTTGAACCGATCCCTAAAGTGTTCTGCCCATCTGTCCGGTCTCCTGGAATGAGAATGGATTATAAGACCATCCTTTACCGAGGTAGTTTCGCTCACATTCGGGTTCCTAATGCCGATTTCCCTGATAAAACTGAATAGTTGAATAGCTGCCTTTTCCATCTCCCTTGCTTTCGATACCCAGCAATGTTCACGATCAATGCTTACGCTTTTTATCAGTCTTTGCCTAAGCTGACTCTGCTCCTCAACGCACTCAGAGCCAGTCAGGATTAGCTTTCAAGCATCCATCAGTTCGGTGGATGCTACTGAAATACACTACTTCTCCCTAACCATATGGTTTACCTTACTAGCCGATACCACTGCTGTTTCAAAGCAGCCTCAGGGTTGGTATCAATCACTACTAAACTGCCTAACTGGTTTTCTAGTTGTTTCTGATATATATTCTTAGCTTTATTATCATTACGCAGAGCCCTAAGAGGTTTCCTGGCGATATTTTTCCTACGTCCGGTAAGTCGTAAACAAATATGCACTCACACTAGAGCATGGTCTGAGTCTATACAAGTGCTTCAGAATGAGCAACAGTCCTCTGTCGAACTCCCCATCGGTGGCTGATGGCGATGCTATCTAGCTGGGTCTAGCGTTTGGACGATTTTGTGGGTCGCCAGATCAAGAGATGTTTTTCCTTATGCTCAAAGTTAGTATTTGTTAGAAATAGGTGACTGTTTAGGTATAGCCGCAGAAAAACGTCGCCATTATCTGATCTTTAAGCCACGACACCTTAAGATTCATCTAGGTGTCTTTCCTTAATACTTAGTCTACCTACTTGAGTCTACCTACTTGAAGAAGGTTAAAGAACTTTCTGTTAAACTCATCTTTTATCTCATCCGAGCCGCAGTCAGTGGGAACGTAGGTGGAGACAACGAAGAGGCAACGGCGAGTGTCCCTGATTTCCCGAGTTCTTACTGTCCACTTAGTCTGGAAAGCTTATAAATGACTATCTACCTGGGTCCAGTCTAAGAGAGCTTGTTCTGCAGTAGGACTTATAACTATACCTACGCCAGCGACGCAACGGGAATTAGCATCAGTGCCACCGGAAACACGAAGCGTAAACTGTGTTGTTTCTCTATCTGCACAAGATGAAATGAATTCGGCGATTTCACTCAGATCTTGTATGCGTGTTTTGGAGACGCAACATACATCGATCGCTTGGGATTCCAGAGTTCTAGTTAATGAAGCCTGTTGCCCTATTTGGCACTAGGTTCGAACATTAAAAGCTCCAACATGAAGGTTAGTTCGTGAGTTCTGGGGACCAGGAATAGCAATTCGTGAACTAAAATCGTGACAAGGAAGTAGAGGAAGTGTCGGTTTTGGAGACAGAAGTGTTATTAAGAGATGTAGAAGGGATTTGATTGTGACCAGTTTGGTCTCGTGTGCTTTTATGGGCGTGAGGGCGGATGTCACTTACCGGCTGCTCACACCATAGAAGGGTACTTCTTGAGGAACCTGAAGATGCAATCGGATTAACATTGGTCTGAGCGACCCGGAAGCCTTTAAGGAGAACCCGAGGGACAACTGCTTGAGGCCGGTCACTCACAGCCTTTGTATGGAAATTTTTTGAAGTTATAGCTCTGCTCTTGTTTAAAAGGACTTACCGCCGGAGACAGAAATCCGCGAGGTTAAGTGAAGTGTGACATTTTTAGAGTCGATCTTTTCTAACCATTTCCTTCCTCGTACAAATATGGCATCGCTGCAGATGCTGGTTGCCCGAGAGAAACACCTTACTGTTGTCAAACCCCTTTACAGTCGGCCCTACGAGTTTTTTCCCAGACCTAGAGTTGCTGTTTTTATTCTCACCGTTTTCCAGTCGTCCTGCCTGCCATGGTAGAACCTACAGGAACATATTTTCCAGCCAATATAGGTCTGTTGGGTCATCAAAATACGTAAGCCTGACCACTACGTCAAGATAGCAGCTATCTAAGTGAAGAGTATGCACTTTATAAAGCCTATGCAAATTCTAGCACATATTCAAGATCTAGCTCACTTCTTAAATATGAATAAGGTTTGTCGATTGATAACTGGGTTACACGTTGATTTTTTACTAGAGTTAGGTTTTAACAAGTTACTTAATTCGTTAGTTACTTGTAAAAGTTATTGCGAAAACTATTATTTGGTTCTCACTCATATAATACATAAATCTTCAACAACATCAAAAATTTTAGCCCATATTCCAGAGCTATTCATATACACATAGTGGCTTACAGAAACGGAATTGAAATTCATAGATTTAAATTTTTCAAAATGAGATTTATTTATATTGCTGTTTATTATTGACTTGTCATCGGGTTACTTTAGAATGGTTAGATGTACTAAAGGTGTAATATCTCTTCCAGAAAAATCATCAGTAAACGAATGAACATCTGTCAATTTATGATAAGGCTGAAGCAAAGAGCAGCGGAAACCACTTTATTTCACTTTAGATAACAATCCTCTTGAAGAGTATACAGTACTTTATGAATTTTAGTGGATTTGATTGCAGTGACTTATTGTTTTATTTTATTAAGTTTTCCAAGTTCGTACAAATAACTCAGCTGACAAAATCAAGTATGATCTTCACATAAACGAGCGTGGTCAGTATTCCTGCATCCCAAAACATGAAAATGGTGAATATTCAAGCAGTATACTCGTATTTTCTACTGCTATCACTCTGGTTTTCTTACGTTCCATGCTTTCGAGCTATGACTACTCGTTCACTGGCGATGAACCGTTAGATGACAGAAGCATGATTGTAAAGCTCACTTCTTTTTGGTCTTTTCAAGCATAATTCAAAAAGCATTGACTTCTACGATAAACAATCAGAGTGTTTACCTGAAAACTTTTTCCGAGTAATAAAAGTTTATAATAGGTGTACATAATTATTTAACATTTGATCGGTTTAAGTAGGTGATCATTAACGAAAAGTCGTCAGTTTAATCGAAAGCTACACAATTTGGTGAGATTTCATTGATGTTTTTGCACTGTTAAAAGGATGGCTGTCAAAATGGTTGACTTATATATTGACAGACTAACCTGTTTGGTTTACTTACTTGCTAATCTGCTTCTGTTTGAGTATTCATGAAAAATCTAATGCGACACAGAAGATCTATATTTTGAAAATGACTTAAGTGTTGTGTGTTGATCCTCAAAAGTCTCCTACACACTAGATAACTTCCAGTTATTGCAAATAATTGGGGACTACTAAACCATTAAAGAAGCACTAATAAAAGAAATTTCGTTAAAAATTGGGATCAATCAGTTAGTCCCAAAGAATAAATTTAAACCAGAGGAGTTTCATTTTCTATAATACTATCAAACAATACAGCCAAAAATATCCACAGAATAGTACTAGTTATAATAAAAAACTAACGAAAAGATAATTAAAACACAAATGTATGGACTAAAAATAGTCTGTTCAATTAATTCTGAACAACTTCTCTGGTAATAAATCCAAATAACTGAGACAAAAGTATGGTCATATATATTTGATAAAGTTTAATAATATAGGCTTTTTATATTAAAGAAAGCAATGGACTTAGTTGTGAGAACATAACGTATTTGATACAATATAACTTAAATGACATGTAAGGCAATACAAAAAGTGAAAAATTATCGTCAACTTTTCAAACTTTGAGCTAATCTCATTGATCTAAGATATTTTGTGAATTATAAGAAGTCAACGAGTGATTTTCTTTTTATAACGCATTGGTTATTTATTTAAAGGTGTATTAATTAGTAGTAGAATATTTGTACTACTCTGGAAATCAATATTACTAACAAGAATGTTTGAAGTCTCTCAATGAGGAACTAAAGTGTGCTAAAAATACAACAGTTGATTTGCGAAGAAATGTTTTTTACTACACGTTTTTGATAGTAGGTCATGAACCACCATTTACCTTAGCTTGTTTTTCATCATCAACGTAGAAAGCTCCTCAAAATCCTCATAAAAAACAAGGTTGATAATCTAGTATACAAGACTGAATACACGTGAAAATATCAGCCTATTCATTCCTGATAGTTAGTCTTTTGATTGCTGTTAGCTCTGATAAAACATTTTAAAATCATATGTCATTTGGAACTCCAGTCAACGCCTACATGGGCATTAAGAAACCCAGGAATTCTATAAAAGTTCTTTTCGGACCAGGTTCTGGGTTGATGGTGTGTAAGTATGGAGTTAGTGAACAAGACCGTAGATCTTGGTTTTGATCTCCAATGGACTTAGAGATGTGCACTACTGAAGGGAATCGCAGCAGAACAAAATAGCTATCCAACGCTTATTGGTTTTCAGTGGATATCGTACTTAAGTTGATTTGTAACATCAGTAAGTTGATTCTGTAGTAGTAATTGTTAATCAGAAAAATCTCTGATGTATAACATTTTATTTCTCAGCAAAGCGTAGTTTGCTGAAACTTTTATCCTCCACGCACTATTTTATTTTTTTAAAAGGTTACTAAGAACTTAGTGTATATGTTGATCTAAATCAAAATGCATTTATATGCATATATATACATATGCATATATATTTATCAAGACAATGAATGACCTGAAGTCAATTTGACATTGCACCACGATGATTGACGCTAAAAGTATTTATAGTTTATTTTTAAAGAAACTAACTGATACCTTTATTTACTATCAAGTTAAAGTACTAAAAAACCAAATGTCACTTGTTTCTTATTGGTGATTAAGTTTAGTAAATTATTACTTTGAATTGCTAGTGATCAGCTTACAAGTGAACCATATAAGTTATCTGAAATGAATCTGGGATTTTATTCCAATACTAACCTTTACACTGCAGGTCACATTATTTTCACTTCCATTTTGCAGAATAAGAAATAATAATAAGGGCTAAACCTACTTATATAACTGTGCTGGATTTTAAATCTTTGACTGAAGTTACAACTACCATGCAAAATCCTACTTCAGATTATTCTTTTGACTTTTTTCATATTCGCCGTAGCTAATTTGTATAAATGATAACATGATTTTACTAAAATATAGAGATTTTGTGTTTCATTTTCTGGTTTTTATTAAGAAATATCAAACTAAAATACAAGGACTTTTGATTTCTCCATGGTCTTTTAAGTTTTTGAACTTGAGAAATAAACAAATTAAGTAATCGTCTTTGAAAGCTTAATATTCATATTTCCGCTAGTTTTAATAACCCGTTCCAGTAATTTTCACATTTAAATATGTACTAGTATCTTTAAGGGTGTCAGTGTTTTTAAATAACCTTTCATGCGTAAATAAAAGGCTATTTAGTTGATTTACTGTATAATTTACTAGAAGTAATTCAAAAGGTCAATAACAGTGATTTTTATATTTTGCTCCTCGTTTATAATTTGCAGGAGGATCCAGGATTAATACCCAGAATATGCGAAGTAAGTTAGTAATATTAAAAATGTTTGATGTCACTTACATTTTCCCTATCTTACCGAAACAGTTTTAGATGCATATATAAATATAGATATATATATTGTGTTAGGAAATTTTCTGTAGCTCTCTAGTTAGCTTATTCACGTTATGTCTTGGAGATGTTGTATAATGATTATTCAGCAGTGCAGTCTAGTTTACACTTAGAAGAGTGTAGTCACGACTTCAGAACCACATAATTAGTTTCGATGAAAAATGATGGAAATTAAAAGAGGCAGTATATTACTGAATATAAAACATGTTGCTATTTCAACAGACATGATGGCCAAGATTTACATACTTCCTTTTTCATTTCAGTGGCGTAATACACTACATCTTAAACTTTAGTTTTTATTTTCTTTTCACTCAATTACCGAACTGAAAACTAGTTGAGCGAAAATTAGTATCCACAGATTGTAAACAACTATCAGTCTGAAATAATTATTTGTACATTAGTTTGTTAACTCCAAAACTGTAAACAGATAGTTCGTTTAAATATATATATATATATATATATATATATATATATATATATATATTCTCATTATGAAAATAACTACAGCTTGGTAATTTGATATTTTCATTGTATAACTGACAATATCATGATTGACTAAACATATATTGTTAACTTATTTTATTTTTTCAAAACGATTGACATTCAAGGCTTTGTTGAGCTATATGAAAGTGAACCAAAATGTACATACAAATTATGAATTAAAAATAAGGTAAGACTGATGATATTTTGCATTGAACAACTTATATGCTTATGCACTTTGTGTACGTTATAGTAGTGTAATTGTAAAAAAGAAAACCGATTCAACTTTATGCCTAAGCTCATGCAGTAGGCAGTAGATAGGTTTAGCAGTAATTAGAAAAAAAATTAAAATTGTTGCAAGTTGTTAACAATTAGACGGTATTAATTTAAAGCATTTTATTACACAGTGTTTACTGAAGTGATTTATTAATCTCATTAAGAAACATTTTTTTAAAATTCATCAGCTAATTTAAATTTCTATGTACTCAACTGAAAAATATATTGATAACATTCAGCTATTTAAATTGGAAGTTATGTTGCTTTGATTTTGCACAGGATGATAACTATCAGAATATACACGTACATAATTAACATAATTACCAGATATACAAAATCTATTTTCAGTTTTTAAATAGATTTCTCAAATTCTAAGCAAAAATGAATATTTTTATTTAGATTCAGATGAAATAGTTTGTTATATTGGGAAAAAACAGTATAACAATTATATTTATTTCGATAACAAAAGTTTTATGAATAGTAGGTCAAACATGGATAAATAGACTTAAAATAATCATTACCAAGTCTTAAACCATTACGTAACAAGAAGTGTCTACATAATTAGTTCATGAAAGAATATCAACGTTTGACCTACTATTGATAAAACTTTAGTTATCGTATTTTATTTTTCTTATTACTATCAATACACCTGTCTTCCTATTATCAACTTGTACTTTTGCCTATTATGTGTCGTGACGTAATCTATTTCATTTCATTGTGATTATTGACTCAAATCGCCTTGATTGGTTTAACATTTTCATATAAATATTCATGTATATTAGAGTAAATTATATTTAATTACTGAAACATCCTGAATTAATTTTTGGTCAGTTTCATTAAATGGGATCCAGAAAACGTAGTTTATCACTGAATAGAGACTATAACTTACTTAGTGTTGCTAATTCATTGATTTTCCCTGGAATACTTATTAGCATAACCAGCTAATTGAGGTGACGAACTATACTCTTGAAATAGGATCTAGGACTTCAAAAGCTGTGAAGCTATCCTAACATCTGTCAAGCAAGCGGTAAAGGTTAATTCAAACAATTTTGTATGAATTCATAGATAAGAGTGGTCATATCAAACATTTTCTATTGCGATAATGTCACAAATGATTAAAGTGACAAATTTCCTGGTCGAAAATATATAGACCTGATTACATAACTTCTTATATATATGTGTGCATATTTTAAAAAGATTTATTATTAACTAAATGCATGAAAGTTTTTACTATGAAATTCAAAGTTCTCATCAATATTTCCATATCTTTAACGATTTGTTGTATGTTTACTGATATTAAGTGTTTTTATCACTTCTATCTATCAACCTTATTATGATAGTTTACCTATCGATTTAATTCATTGTAATAAATATAATATTTTTAGAATACTAATGTAGCCGTTTCATTAAATTAATTTACCAAATCAAAATTATTTTAGCATTAGAAATAAGGACAAATGAACCATTTGACGCCCAAAAAACAAAATTGAACAAAAGCGAAGTCATAGAAAATAAGAATGAAGAAGAAATTAGTGTTTTATTGTCACTAAAATAATTCGTCTGATTTAAGAAACCCGACTTAAGATAATGAACATGAAAACATTTCGTTTTCTATTGCAGTATTTTGATGAATAAGTGTAACACAATGAATCATTGCCTGTATTAAATTCTTTTGTTGAAAAGACAAAATAATTCCATTCGTTTTAAGTTGTGTAAGATTATCAGAAGTCCGCTGTTCATATGATATGATAAGGCTTTAGCCATAGTTTGATACTTACGTACTCACAAACCTGTTACCCTCAGTGGATCATAGGCCGCCGACCTGCATTCTCCAACCTACTTTGTCCTGAGTCTTTCTTTCTAGTTCTATTCAACTGTTCTTCATTCTTCTTATATCCGTCTCCATTTCCTGGAGTAATGTGTTCTTTGTTCTTCCGCTTTTGCTTTGGTCTTGAGGGTTCAAATTTAGAGCCTGATTGTAACGCAGCCGGACTTCTACCGACATATGTGTCCTGCCCACTTCCAGCTCTCTTTTTAGATTTCCTCCTCAGCTGAGATCCGATTTGTTCTATACAACAGTGGGTAGTAGATGACGTTGTCTGGCCAGCGAACCTGAAGTATCTTGCGTAAACAACTGTTAATAAATACTTTTATCTTCAGGATGATGGTGGTTGTGGTTCTCCAGGTTTGCGCTCCACACAACAGAACTGTCTTGACATTTGTGTAGAAAATTCTGACTTAAGTGTTGGTTGACACTTGTTCTGAATTTCCCCTGGAGCCCCTTCTGAGGCTACTGCCGTTCCGTACTCTGGTTAAAGGAGGAGGGTTGAGCATGGGGTTGGTGACTCCATCCCATAGAAAACTAACTCGATAAAAAAAACACTAACCAGTAAAAATAACGGTTTGATACTGCTAATATTAATCTGAGAATTTGAAAGTAAGCAAAAATTAGCTTCGAATATATTCTTGATCCCTAAAATATAAAAAAACGGTCAGGTAGCAGTAGTGAAAGTTGCTTGTGTGGCAAAAAAATCTAAAGTCCCTAGACTGCGTTCACATGTGATGGATTCATTTAATTTCGTGCACACGAATCCTATGTCTAACTCAAGCTTATGACTGACTTGCAAACACAGGTCAGAACTGATTTCCAAAGAGCTATCATTTTAACGAATAGTAAATCATCCAGATTAGAAAATTAAGATTACAACTATCTGATTTAGTGACTTTATACACGAGATTTTAGCAACGAAAAATTCCGACCCCGATCAATATCCATTACTAAAGTCAAATGATGCACGTCTATCGTTTATCATAGAAAAGGTACAATGTACCGATTTCGATTTCCTCTTGTTAAATTAATAAACATAACTCTACAGAACCTGTGTGATTTAAGGCTAAACAGCTAAACTGAACTGAAGATAAGGGAAAATATACTTTTGTGATCAGAATATAAACATTTACATAATTTTCTCAATCCTTTATGTAACTACAACGAGTTGAACTGTGCACACACCGTCCAACAGATCAATGGATACTATTAAATTACCTCATAATAGAATATTTTTATTTGGATTTAGTGCATAAGTTAAAACCAATTTAATCAATAATATTGACAAATTTTTGAGCAACAGTCATCTAGTTTACTATCAAGTTGTTTTTCAAATTATGTTTAGTCGTAACCTAAGTCATAATTTTATGTTTTTCATAATGGTGGTCATTGGTTGCCTTAATTTCCGTTTTATTAAATAAATAATTAGAAAAAGTATCTTTGTCTCAAAAAAAACCTGAACATAGTTTACGGACAGTTGTATGATGTTATCGACTTATACTGAAACAGTTATATAATGTGGTAAGGACTTATAATGACTTACTCGAAAAGAATCAGAATGAAATAGTTTTTATAAGAATTAAAAAAACTTTATTACTATTGGTTGGATTATTATGAAATGACTCATGTGATATCAATGAAATACAAATGTAACATGTACTATAAGTAAACTATTTTCATTCATCTTGCTTAAGACAGCACATATCCCATTAATGTTTATAAATGTTCTATATGCCATAATTAAACTTTCTATGTTTACTGATCAAGTTTATTAGTTCCTATACTCGTTCTCTGTGAATTAACATTCCTTCCAAGACGTTAGTCAGTTATTACACTGAAAATAATAGGTCTGTTGTATAATTGTTCATATCTTTTAAAAACGTATCTTGAAATGTTTGTTAGTAGCCAAAACGATAAAAATTGTATAATTAGACTTTACTAAGTAAAACTGCTAAGAGACTGTATTCTCTAGAAGTTTCTGAATGGCCTTTCAATAAATTGAAGGTTTTCGACTCTTAGGAAAGAATACGATGATCGTTGACTATTGGTACTTGGAAGCTGTTCATCATTTGAGAAGAGGGTTTTCTGACAAAGTTCAAACGGAACACAGCTGGTAAATACCAGGTTTACAAAACACAAAGTGCATGTTTAAAAATAGATAGTTGTTGGTGAACCACAGTTTAGAAACTATAAATTTTTAAACTAGTTAATATGAATAATCGATTTATGTTGAAATAAACCATTTAAATAGACTTTTCCAGTTCCTAAATAATTATACTTTAGTGTTTTCATTTACGTTTTCGTAAAGTGACTACTAAATTCAGTTAGCCATTTAAGAATCTGCATCGTTCCTTATTTATATTGATTGATACAGTGTTCCAAAGTCACCTTATATCTAGGTTAAACATTTACTCATAATAAATATTCACAAAACATCCTATTTATTAAGTTCATTATTATATTTGCCTGAAATACTCATGTGATGATTCCAACCAATCATATTACCGAAATCCAATTGGTCTATTCAACTAGTCGCCATTAATAGAACCATCAAATATTGCAAAACAAAATTTCCTTATAGTATAAGTTTTTTTGTTTTCCTTCGAGTATCAAATTGATGAGTTTATAAAATAAGTACAAGCTGCACGAAATAACACATTTCATTGAAAGGTGACACCTCTGATTTACTTAGATTTGCCATTTTAAATAAAAGCCCGTTTCTGCAACAAATGAAGTATAGTTCACTAGTAATAGAACAGATGAAGAAGCAATTTTAAATGCATTTATTTATGAATGATTTAAGTCAGTACATTGTGAACATTTTGTCGAGAATACAGATGTACGATTTTTTCTCTAGAAGTAAAACTTATATTAAATTGCACTAAGTAAGCTTTTCTTAATAACAACTAGATCATTAATGTCAGTGTCTATTATGACCGTTGATTCTTTAAGGTGGATGTGTTGATGCTAAACATATGACAATAAAGTTATCAACAACATTCAACTTTGGACATATATTGACTACTAGGTATATAAAACAACGCGCTTCAGTTTATTTTTATTACTTTACTTTTTAAAGTGTTGGT